GAAGAGGGGAGGGAGGAAGGAGGTCTAAGTCAGGATGGTGCCCAGAGACTTGATAAAAATATAAAGGTTTTTTGCTGTTTGCTCACAAAGGCACGTCTCTCTCTACCTGGGCTCCAAGAAACAAATTAACCAGATTTCCACTGCCCCCCTGTTGGTACGAGAGAAAATGTTGGGGGAAATAGCAGCATCGACTTTCAATTCTAATTGTCTACAAGCTGCAGTAGCTTCTGGGGAAACTTGCAGTCAATAAACTACAGACAATTTGAAGAGACACAATGGGAGCTGCCCCTCCCACAGCTGGACCATTATCCCAGCTTTTATTGAGGTCTAAAAAGCAGCAATTTCATGCTCTGCCTGAACATCTGCAGAGATATGAAAACAGACCCCTGCAAAAAAGACAGACGCCCCCAAATTAAACAGGAGACATCATGGTGACTAATAGAGAGTGGTTTGCTTGTACTTACTTACCTGCAAGTAAGTCCCAGCAGGCTCAGGATGCAACTGCTCCCATGATAGAGGAGTGCCAAGGCTTATTGGAGTCGGTGCTGTGCTCGGACTCTAAACTTGGCATGAGGGGGCTGTCTACGGGAGAAAGACTGGTGGGGAATGAACAAGGGTGCACACTTACAGCATACACGACTTCACAGAAGTTTAGGGCTGGAAGGGACCTCATGAGATCATCCTTGGTGGACACTTGGTATATGCTAAGTGGAGTAAGCTTCCCTAATTCAAAGACACCAAGAGTACATCTGCCAACACAGGATGGAGAGTAGCTAATGCACACCCTAGCTTAGGGCACGCTCACCTTGCTATGTAGACAAGCCCTTAGATAGCATCCAATGGAGAATACACCAGAACCACCACACTTGTCCAGAAAAATGTATAAGGGTGAAGACTGTTCTCTGGGGTAAAGCTGCTGTAGAGGGACTTTCCTGTTACACTTCTGCACATCAACCTCTGCCTATTAATTTCTTCCTTATTGGCCTATAAGGAGAAAAGAGGAGCCAAATGTTCCATGACCTGGCAGACCAGGGAGTCTCTGTGGCTTACTGACTACTCTGGCTAAAAGGGGAGATTCGCCCCTTCACTTACGACATGATTTATGAGATGAACAGTATTCTTCTTCCTGCCAGCAAAAGGCCTCTCTGGGGACTCCTTTTACTTACACCAGCTTCATACAAAATACTACAGTGCCCAGGACACGCTGCTGAATACAAACTGTAGGTCACTGTGGCCCAGTCAACGCTGCCTCAGGGTCAGAGTCCAGAAGCCCCTGCTGCCGTCTCACTCTCCTCCCTACCAACCAGTTGCTTCAGCACAAGTCCAAGCTTTGGACCTACACAGAACATGTTGCCTTCTCCCCACAGCTCCTCAACACACAGCACATGTGTTGCGTACTCTGTGGGAATCATCTCAGCCTTGCAGAAGTTCATTGTTACCTTGAGTCTTCCACAGGCTCACTGGGCCCCAGCAAAGGCTTAGCACACAAGCAAGAGCCAAGACAGGCTGAGTAAACAGGAGGGGCAAAGAAATTCTGAGTCTGTACCATTGTCTCCTTCCCGTCACCACCAAGGGGAATTCTCATAAATTATCTTTGTTAAACAACATTTGATGAGCAGACCAATTATATTAAAACTTCACTATATTCAGCACCAGACCTCTGGTGAAAGGCACTAGAGAAAGCAAAACATTAGCATGCGTATGAAATGGAATCACCTGGACAGTACCAGCCTGGTGAGGGTGGGGGGGCTCCAACGCCCTCCTGCATGGGAAAGTCAGACAGTATAAGAATCATTAAGAGATTCCCTTCCTTCTTTCATGCATCTCTGCAGGTGAAGGTAATGAACGTGTAGGAGAGCTTTAGGCTGGTGGCTATTTGGTACAAGATACTGATGAAGAAAAAAGCAGACCCACAGCCTTTTCTTCCTTGGTAATATTGGGATACTCCTTCATGGCATGGTTACACAGTTGATAAGTGAGGTAACAAGTATTGGTTGTTCTGACCTGCTAAACCAGTGGACCTAATCACTGTTAGCAAGGTGACTCGTGGTAAGAGTCCCAGAAGCTGCTGTATTTTGCTGGGTGTTCTCTGACCCCTCTGATGTCTGCATCTAACCTCACAGCTCAGTCACCTGTGCAGAAGCTTCTCTCCCCTCAACACCCTAATAGGTATAGAAAAGATTTTCTGCCACCTTACCGTTGCCTGCAGCAAATCAGAACAATATGTGCTTCAGTACCCTATCAGCAGCTCCTCCTAACAGATTTCCACAACACCTAGGGAAACTTTCCAGCAAGGTTCACTGTTCACATGAGTCTCTGGAAAACTAAAATAGCCCAGGTATTTGGTTTATAAAGCAAATACACGCCAAAAAAACACAACCAGCCTCCAAGTTAATAGGATCTTTCACTGCCCTCTGCTGTTACCAGTCATTCAGCTTCCAATTTACTCTTTAATAATGTCAGGCTGGGGCTCAGGGCTGGCAGCTTCCCAGCACCTTTCTCAGGCGGGTTGGAGCTGCAGCTTGCGAATATGCTGAAGTTTAATGCAATCTGTCGTCTTTGGTAATCACATTCCACCCGCACTGCTTGCAATAAAGATGTATTGGTAAATGCATTTGCTAAAGATATACTCTGCTGAAAAGGCTACAAGCCTGATTTACAGGAGGCAAGGAGGGAAGCATTGGCTAGTGGAGGCTGGCAAGAGATGCACCATGCTCCACACAGCAACAGAGGGCCGGGATTGTGCAACGGCAGCACAGGCCCTGCTTTCCTTTAAAGCCGAGAAAGAAAAAGAAACCGTGCGCTCTGGGAGCTGGGGACTTTAAAGATATCAGAGAAAAGCCCTTTCCCTGGCAGCTTTAACCTTGCTGATTTGCAGACATACAAAGACCTTCTTTGTAAACAGGAAAGAAAAAAAAATTCCACCAGGACTTGCAACAACATTTGGTCTAATATATCCTGACAATTTTCCCATCTCCTTCTGTCGGGGCTTCTTCTGGGAGCCGGCTGGCAGCTTGTTTCATGTTATACTTAAATCAGGCATGCAGCTTCTCTTCATAATGCTAATGCAAAGAAGAGAGGCTCTCTCCTCAAAAGGCCCAGCCTGTCCCTGTCACATTAAAGATCCCAGGAGAAGCAACTCTGTTACTGTTTCCTAAAAGGCCCTAGTCCTGCCCCCAACTCCACACCATCACAACCAGGATGCCCTTCAAGGAACTGCTCAGTTAGAGAGACTGGTCCTGTACCTGGAAGGATACTTGAACATACTATACCCCACCCAGCAGAGTTCACACTTTTGTCTTTCCCTTTCCCTTACATTCAGGAAGTCTCATGGGCACCTTATATCATACCCAATGCTGTTTCCAAGACTGTTCTCACACTGCAAAGTGTGAATTTCCACTGGAAGCTGGTCTGCACAGTGTCCCTTTCCCCCTGCTCTCTTGATTTTATTTCAATAATAACAAGCTAATCCTTGCAAGCTGCTGGGCAACTACAATTTATTCAATAGAAGCTCCAAATGGCATGACTTTCAGAAATGTTGCTAATTCCACAAGAGGAAACATCTTGGCCAATTACAGGAGAGTGCTTTAAACAGCAACAGTAGGCAGCTAGCCCCTATTTTGTAATTTTGGGAGGCCGTCCTGGGGACATATATCCACCTGGATCATTCAAAAATAAGTGTCATGGTTGGAAAAAGGCAGACAAGGTTCCTTGTGTGAATTTGATATCTTTTATTAGACCAACCCAAACGGTTGGAGAATAGTTATTAAGCAAGCTTTCGGGTTCAAAAACCCTTCGTCAGGCTAAGGAAGCTTCAGCAGTTGGTGTGCGCTCTTCCTGGATGGAATGAAAATGGTTCACAGTTGTTTGATAGACATGCAAACAATTTGGAAAGATACTTGGCCAACCTACAGCTTGTCAGACCCTTTTCACAGCCTGTGGTCTGAGCTTCTTTTTAATAGCTCTCATTGCCCATGAAATGCAAGGAGTAGGGAAGTTTGTTCTCAGAGAGGAATATTTGCCATGGACCCATGTGTCCAAGTGATTAATCTCTGGCTTACTTCACAGCTATCACAGGTCATCTGGATATTAAGATGTAGGGAACATATAAGAATAGGATACTAACATGTACATGATAGAAGAGAAAGGCATTGGATAGTATTAATTGGTTCTTATAGATATTTAAGAAAGGGTTGGGGCTATCGGTATTTACTGATGAGAATACTAAGACTCTATGGCCATGTCTACCTGGCTCCAAGGTGAGCCTGAGACTGCTGCTAGTAGCTCCCTTCCCCCCTGTTCAGTGAATGCCAAAGCACAGAAATTAGGCAATATAATGAGCTTAGACATTGAACTAAAACCAAGCCTGAGACAGCCAAGGAGTAAAGCTCAGGGCCATGTGTTCACGGTGACGCAAAGCCAGCTATGCTGCCTAATTTCCACTGCTGGCATGCTGAGGAAAAGTATGTGGGAGGCATGTGCAGCCTGACGAAGGGTTTTTGAACCCGAAAGCTTGCTTAATAACTATTCTCCAACCATTTGGGTTGGTCTAATAAAAGATATCAAATTCACCCAAGGAACCTTGTCTGCCTATATCCTTAGACCAACTCGGCTACAACCTAAACCCCTGCAACATGGTTGGAAAAATGACTCTGCCACCCAAAAGCTGCACTTACAAGCTTCCAGAATCAGAAGAAAAAGTGAGAGCTTTGGGAAAAGATGCATGAGAATTCTAGCAGAAACCCAAGAGGACATGATGCTTAGGCGCCCAGTCAAAGCAGAGCACCAAAATATGGTGCCATGTGGAGCTGTCCAATGGAACAGTTCTACAACATCTGGGGAGGCACGAGGACGAGCTTAGGGCTCTGCATCAAGTCACTCATGAGGTCCCATGGGCCACACTGCTTTCAGAGGTCACAGCAAATTGGAGAAACCCCCCCCACAAGGAAACGCCATGCAATAAGACCAGCCGGGTGTGGGGGCGATGGGGTCACAGTTACCTTCCGAGCGGCACTGACGCAGCGCTGGTACTCTTTGGCCAGCTCCGAGCACTTGAGTACTTCATGTTTGTTTGCTTGGTAGCACTTCAAGATTTCCGACTGCAGCCCGGCACAGACAGGTTCAGTGCTCCTTCGCCTATGTGGGGACAAGAACACGACATTGTGGAGGGTAATCCTTGCACGTTCCAGCAACTCTACCAATTCCCCAACACATGTTAATGCCTGCCCCAGACCCCCTCCTCCCCAACAAAAGTTTTCACAAAGCCAATTAACGAATGGGAACATTAACCACGAAAGCGCCGATACCATGGACAGCACCTTTCAGCTGAAAAGTTCAAAGCATTCAGCAAACATGAGGCTTACAACCCACCTTTGAGGAAAGGAAGTGTTATCCCCTTTATATGAGGGAGAGACACAGAGAAATTAAATGACTGCCCAAGTCGCACTGGGAATTTTGGGCAGAGCAGGAGGTAGAACCAGCAACCTCAGACAGCCCAAGGAAAGAACCTTTAATAATCTGAAAAGTGACTACTGCCCTGTGGAATTGGCCACCTTACTCTCCAGAAAGTTAACAGTGGTTAAACGCTTGCAAAGGGCACCACGATTCTCAAAGTGATAAGAGAAAAGTAGACAATTTCTAGGCTTACTTGGCTCTTAGCCAACATCCATTTATCCATAAACATAGCAGCAGGAGTACCGACAACAGGGAAGGCCATGCTAAAATATCACCAGCAACAGTAGCACTAACATACTAAACAGAGTGCGATTAGCTAGAGTCAGGCAAACACCAAGGGCAGAAACTGGCAATAGCTGCCAGGCCACACTTCAGAGGAGAGACAAACCGTTCACAGCCCAGTCTCAGATGCAACCTTTCACAGCACAGAGCCATTCCCCTTCCCTACAGTTTTCTGCGTCACTACACAGAAGGTCTGATGCTCAAATCAGAGCACCTCTCTTCTTCCCAGGGCACTTTGATGCTACAGAAAAGCTGTACCACATGTGATGACATCATATTTGTTTCCACAGCAACAAAACCAGTGTCACCAATGCAGCATTACGACTTTCTCCACAGGGAGAAAGGCAGGGAGACAGCACATTTCTGCATAGTTGAGCCATGCTTTGAGAGTGCTGTCTCCGACTGGGCAAAACACACTAAAAACTGGGCATTCTTGGAATTTTTTGATCATAGCCAGGATCTCTGAAAGCTTTTAAGGACAGGGGGAGAATTCAGACTACACAAATGTTTGGTTTCTTTGGGGGTTTTTTTTTTTAGGATGAGCATGTGTGAAGGAGGCGGGGTACAATGAGCGCAAAACATTCTGTCCTCTCAAAGTCAAAGACCGGGCTGCTTCTCTGAGAAAACATTACCAGGACATGCTCCAGCAAGTGCTCTTTCAGCCCTGATCACACCACCAAGTCTCAGGGGCAAAGCTCCAGCATTTATCAGGAACAACATGCCTCACATAGCAGCCACAGCAGAAAGTGAACAGCAACATTGCTGGTTGGATCAGTCACAGTCAATGACTTTAGGGTCTCCCTCTCTCCTCAAATCACTAGTCTTTAGAAGGAAAAAGTACTGGTATATTCCATGCAAGGTCCTCAAAGGAGGGAAGGTATTAGTTATTTTTCTATAGACTACAGAACATCCATTACCAAAGTTTTAAAAGCCTTCAAAAATTAGAATAGAAAAGGACTTGCAGAGAGCTTCAGAAACTCATAAGATTGGCATTTTGTTCCATCACTGAAATTTTAATATCATTCTAATCAACTCCATGAGACCTTGGAAACAATACCAGGTTTGGAAATACCACCAAATCCCTCAATTCATTGGAAAAGTTAAGACTTTTTAAATTGGGTTTTTAACTCAGCATGTTAAACTAACATGTATTTTGCGACTCCATGCAATAGGCAGGAAAGGAGATCTAACAGGCTACAAAAATCATTAGCTTAGACTCATCTGAGCTGAATAATGGGCTAGAAGTTGTAACCTCGTAGGACAGAATGTTTGGGTTTCACTTTGCCATTCTAAAAATGGAAGGCCAGCAAGTCCTTAACTGCTGGCTCCTTACTTGTACCTGTTTTGGCACCTGCCATCACAGAAGATGATTAATAGGAAGACAGGACAAGGCTGATAGTTCAAACTGTACAGCAGGATTGGCACCTTCTGGCCCATGATGTGCCAGGGGACTCAGGAAATGCATCAGAAAGTTAAGTTATAGCCAGAAGCTGTTAAGGAAACTGCCAATGCCTTTCCCCTTGAAGCAGCGGCAGGCCAATGTGTGTAAAGTGGCAGACACCAAAAGGTAAAGGAACTGATAATGCAGATATCTGCCACCACATGACAGAAAAGCCTCAAGAGATGGGAGCTTGCCCAGCAACTGCCTTCCAGCCAGAGTCGCAATGAGCCTCTTACTGTAGCTTCGGTAAGTAATACTGCTTCAAAATGAAAACATGGCCCTCATCTACACGCAAGCTGCATCAATTTAACTAAACAGGTTTATATTGATAATTGACTTTGCATTATATTGATTTAGTTTAAGTTGATTATCAATATAACACAATCTTAAACCAATTTACAAGCATTTTCACAAGCAAACTGCACCGACTTAATTAAAATTGGTTTCTAAACCTATTTAAGTAAATCAGTGCAGCTGGCATTTAGGCCAGGACATGGCTGTCATTTTAAAGGGTCTCTCCTCTCTTAGGAAGGTGACAGAAAGCTTAATTTTAATGGAGTGTAACACCTGATCTCATAATATCTTCCCAAGTTTGTAGAGGGACTGAAACCGTAGTTTGGATTGGTGTGGACTCTCCCATCCATCAGGTGCCCACAGATAATTAAGGAACAGGATTATTAACATTTCACTACTGATCAAAGCAGGTCTGGAAAGAGAGTGACGATCATAGATCTGAACCAGTTACTCTGAGTAAAGATTCATTATGGGGCCACAGGCTGGATGTGCCTTGGAGGTCCCCCTATCCCCCTGTTACATCTAGGGGAGCTGTGACTAGAGTGGAAATGCACAGCCCAGCCCAGACAATTGAGCTTCAAATTGCTGCACCACACTAATGTTTTTCAAACTTAAGCTTTGCGTGAAGCCCACCTCCCCACCCCTACCCCAGCCACGGGAGCTACCCTGCTACTCTATCACTGGCCCTGCTCATGGGCGAGTCTGAACCTCAGGGACAGGGAGTCAAGCTTAAGGCACCTAGTGGCATCCTATTGCAAACATCTCTGTAACCCAATGCAAGAGGTCTTTGAAGAAGTTGGAGCTTGGGTTGAGGGCTATCCTTGGACAAATGTCTTCTCCCTCTAGCCTGAGCTTATTTGCTGTACTCAACTACTCTGAGAAGGGTTGTGTTCTCATCATCACCTCTCTGGCTGGGTTGCTCTTGGTGAGTCACATTCAAGAACAGTATGGTCAGGGGGAGGGGAAAGAGGAAGGGATAGAGGACATCTAGACTTTGACAAAAAGTTCACAGGCTTCTTGTGCTTTTAAAAAGAAAAGACAATTTTTACTTTAAAAAAAAAAATCTGCATTTATCCCAGATAAATCTAGGCTGTTCACCCCTGTTTAGCCTCTTGTGTTGCAATTCTCACTAGCATTACTGAAACCAATAAGTGGAACTCATCTACAGAGACGAAACAGGGACAGGAGGGAAAGGGCTTGGGCAACACCCTTGGAGGGGGAAGCCTGAGGTTCAGACAATACATCAGGAAGAGAAACAGGACCCAAAATGGGGGAGACTAAACCAATATCAGGTACTCGTTCCCCCCTCCCTCAGTTTATGGGGCAAAAGGTAAGTCGACAGGTGGGAAAAAAAGGAATACTAGAAATAAACACACTTGTTAGCAATGCCTCTCTCCGCAGACTAGGGGGAACAAACCTTTGCTTCTCTGCTGTCCAATGGGAAGGAAGGCTGTGCACGCATGAAATCCAGGATTTCAGTTACTCCTCTCCCCCTCCCACTGAGTAAGCTAAATCAGGCTTTTGTCTGGAAAAAAGGGAGAGGTTTTCTTAAATGAAACAAAGGGTACCTTTCTCTCTGCCGTCCCTTGAGGTAAGCATGAAGCGAGAGCTATCTCGCTGCATTTTGACACACAGTTACCAAATCCTTTCTATCTCCGTGTATTCCCTTTACTTTATTTAATAAATGAAATCTCATCAACTTATCCTTCTTCTATTATCACTGCTGACATCAATCTGATAATATTGGCTTGGCGTGGAATCGTGCTATTATATGTCCTCTTGATATTTAATTTAAGAGAAACGTCTGCAGTGGGGTGAATATGTGAAGCAAGCTTTTTATTACTGGCAGCAGTAAGGACGCTGGGAGTGAATTAGACATTCATCTTAGTCAGGGCCAATCTAATAGCTCAGAAGAGGTTTTCTCCTTAACCCTCTCCTAGCTGGTTAGCAGTGGCAGGTAACGGCTGCTCCAGTCAACGGCGGCGTTCATTTATCTTGGCAAATTCCTTTTTGTGTGGATATAAAGCTACTGAAGAAGTGTCAAGCATCTGGGAGGTTAAAGCAAGGTGCTGAGTGAATTTCCACCATAAATTCTGGGTTAGTAAATGAATGCTGGACTGAATGTCTATTGATTAATCAAGTAGTAACACTGCACCTTCCCCAGCATGCACGCTCACAGAAAACCAGCTCTTGCAGGGACAATTTAATGGCAAGATCCTTGGGGCTCCCTACCCCATGAGCAGAGATGCCCAGATGCAAAAAAACAGCACAGCAATGGGCTACAGCAAAGCACTGATTGCTGCTGCCTTCTTTGGATGAAGATTACTGATTGAGGAGTCGGAGGTACAGGTGGAAATCACCCCCTGGATCTGGAGAAAAAAGCCTGATCTCCAGGATGGGCCAGAGCAGGGGTGGGCAAAATGCAGCCCCCATCAGGCCATTCTGTCCGGCCCATGGGGCCCCTCAGAAATTTTATCTGCCCCTGGGCTGCCTGTCACGTGGCCCTTGATGGCTTGCCAAAACTCAGTAAGCGGCCCTCCGCCCAAAATAACTGCCCGCCCCTGGGCTAGAGGGGAAAGGAAAAGCCTGTCAGGTCACCAACAGACATCTGAAGGGTGGGAGGGGGGATTTGCCAGTTGGTTTGGGGTACAGAGACTTCTGGAGA